GTTGAGAAACACTGTCCTAACCACTGCTGGGGAATTCTGGGAGTTGAAGTCCGGACATCTTCAAGTTGCTAAGGTTGAGAAACACTGTCCTAACCACTGCTGGGGAATTCTGGGAGTTGAAGTCCGGACATCTTCAAGTTGACAAGGTTGAGAAACACTGTCCTAACCACTGCTGGGGAATTCTGGGAGTTGAAGTCCGGACATCTTCAAGTTGCCAAGGTTGAGAAACACTGTCCTAACCACTGCTGGGGAATTCTGGGAGTTGAAGTCCGGACATCTTCAAGTTGACAAGGTTGAGAAACACTGTCCTAACCACTGCTGGGGAATTCTGGGAGTTGAAGTCCGGACATCTTCAAGTTGACAAGGTTGAGAAACACTGTCCTAACCACTGCTGGGGAATTCTGGGAGTTGAAGTCCGGATATCTTCAAGTGGCCAAGGTTGAGAAACACTGCTTTGCATCAAGCTGCCTCCTCAGCGCTGCTGACCACGACAGGTCGCCCTCAAAGAGAATAACCAGAGTTGGGACCCTGAAGGTCTTCTAGTCCAACCCCCTGCGTAGGCATCAAAGGCGGTGCCCACACTGCCTTTCCCCTCAGGCTGAGGATGATGGGTGGGGAGAGGCAACGGTGGGTGGGTGGGGGTGTCTATTTCCCAAAAGGGGGGGGGTGTTGGACTCCCTCTCCCATCATCCCCGGCTCACCGTGGACGTCTCCCGCCAAGGCGCGCCAGGTGGGCGCGAAAGCCACGCAGTGCCCGCAGGACGAGGAGTAGAACTGCACCAGCCAGGCCGAGGCCGAGTCCCGCAGCGCCTCACGCACCGCGCCGCCCTCCAGCACCCACACCGGGTCCACGCCGGCTTGGTATAGTCGCGCTCCGGCCGGCGGCGCCGCCATCGCCAGCAGCGCCAAGAGGCATCGCAGCGCCTGCCGCGGCCCCAGGGGCGCCGGATAGGAGCCCTCCGCCGCCGCCGCCATGACCGGTCCGGAAGGCCGGGCGACACCCAGGCCTTGTAGGCCTCCCTTAGCAACGGGCCACCGGCCCTGGAGACGGGGGCTGCCTCTCCGCCACGCCCACTGCTCGGCGCCCAATCAGCGGTCGCGGTGGCTCAGGGGGGCGGGGCCCTGGCCATCGGGAGCCTCCCGCCTCCGTCAAGCGGGCGCTCGCCTCTCCCTTGCGTTGGACGGCTGGGGATTAGTGGGCTTGGACCTCAGAGCCCATCATCCTCTGCCCTTCCCGTCTGGCTTCCCCCTAGCCTTTCCTTTCCCCTTCCCTCCCTCCCTTCCATATTTTCCCTCCTTCCTTCTCCTTCCCCTCTCCCTCTTTCCTTCCTTCCTTCCTCCTCTCTCTCCTTCCTCCCACATTCTTCATTCCATTTTCATTCCTTCTCCTTTCCCTCTCCATTTTTCCTTCCTTCTTTCTCTTTTCTCCTTCCCTTTTCCCCTCCCTCTTTCCTTCCTTCCTCCTCTCTCTCCTTCCTCCCACATTCTCCCACTTTCATTCCTTCTCCTTCCCCTCTCCATTTTTCCTTCCTCCTCTCTCTCCTTCCTCCCACATTCTCCCACTTTCATTCCTTCTCCTTCCCCTCTCCCTCTTTCCTTCCTTCTTTCTCTTTTCTCCTCCTCTTACCTTTTCCCCTCCCTCTTTCCTTCCTTCCTTCCTTCCTCCTCTCCCTCTCCTTCCTCCCACATTCTCCATTCCACTTTCATTCCTTCTCCTTCCCCTCTCCCTCTTTCCTTCCTTCTTTCTCTTTTCTCCTCCTCTTACCTTTTCCCCTCCCTCTTTCCTTCCTTCCTTCCTTCCTCCCTCCTCTCCCTCTCCTTCCTCCCACATTCTCCATTCCACTTTCATTCCTTCTCCTTCCCCTCTCCCTCTTTCCTTCCTTCTTTCTCTTTTCTCCTCC